CGAGCCTCTGCTGGGATTATAGGTTTGTCAGTTGCCAGCACACAGGGCTGCGTTGTATCCTCCCTGTGTGCAGACCGACTGCAGCGTCGTCTGGGGCTGGAATTGTTCCTAAGCGCAACGATGTCAAAGCGTAGGACAAATGCTTGGTTTGGCTCTTGGGGGGTAAAAAAAAAAAATCGGGTCCTAAAACCCTTCTTGTTCCTTGGGTGTGCTCTGAGCAATGGGCTGTTCCGTAGCATCGGTGTCCTGTTTGTGTGTGACAGGGGTTGGGGAGATCGAGTCATTTCCCAGCTCTGCCCAGCGCCCGGTACCTCTGGCCGAGCAGGACCTCACCCCTGCAGGGGCTGGACAGGGGCCCCGGGGCCCGTCACCGTTAAACCCCCCTCCGAGGACTCTGAGGCTCTCCCTTGCTTTCCCTTTCTCCAGATGACACCTTTGCTTTCTGGCGGGGCCTGAAGGACGTGGGTCTGCTGGAGGAAGTCATCCACGTGTTCCAGCAGGAGCTGGTGCAGACCATGAAGGGGCTGCAGCAGCGGGCGCAGGACCCCCCCCTGCAGCTGGGAGGTGAGGACCCGGCATGGGCACTCAGAGGGGCTTGGGGATAGTTTTTTTTCTCTTTAGGGATGCCTGGATGGCACTGTAGGGACAGAGCTCGTCACAGGTACAGCCCGTTTCTGGCTGCTCCCCGGGCAGGCTCTGGGCAGAGCTCGGGGACACCTCGGGGTGGCCGTGGTTCTCCAGCTCCCTGTGCAGGGACATCCCGTCTGCTGGCTCGGGACGAACGCTCGGCTTGGGGACTGAGGCGGAATTCAGGCCATGAAATAGTGATGCAGCAGCCAGCTACCGTGCCAGCAGATGTCTTATCCCCCTGCGAAGCAGGAGAGGACTGTTTATACGCCAGTGACCTCTTGCACTTTCTCATGACTTCTCCTCTCTTATCGCATTCCCAGACCTCGTGTTACCCTCCCGCAGATTTTGGTCATCTCGGCTGAATGTATTTGCTGTCGTACGGCTTTTTTCCCCCCAAGCCGTTAAATATTTTTGCATAGGGAATTTTTTGCTTTCCTCAAAGATCTGTTTCTTGGTTTTAAGATGCTGTTTTACTCAACAACGTAGTCCAGAACTTTGGGATGCTGGATCTGGTCAAGAAGGTCCTGGCCAGCCACAAGTGCCAGATGGATCGCTCGAGGGAGCAGTACACGCGGGATTTGGCAGGTATGCCCCTGGGACACGCTGGTGCCATCGCTGCCAGCGCGTTTTATTTCTGTGTTAGGAATTGGGGTTTGCATTAAAGCTGGTGCAGCGAAACCGGCTGCGGTGGGACTGGCAGCTGCTGCTCCAGGCGTTGTCACGGTCCCTGAGCCCATCCTCTCTCCCCAGCGCTGGAGCAGCAGTGTGACGAGCACCGCAAGCGAGCCAAGGAGCTGAAGCACAAATCGCAGCATCTCAACAACGTCCTGATGACCCTCACGCCCGTCTCTGTCCCCACGCCTTTAAAACGTCCCAGGCTGACCAGAGCCACCTCCGGACCAGCTGCCATCACTTCCCAGGTGCTGTCCCAGCCGGCGCAGCTCGCCGTCACCCCCGGCGTCCCCGTCTCCCAACTTTCCAACCTCCCTCTCGGCAAAGTGGTCTCAACCCTCCCACCCTCGGTGCTGGGGAAGAGCCCGTCCCAGCCCCCCGCCACCAGCTCCCCGGCCTCCCCACTGCTGGGGGGGTACACGGTGCTGGCCTCCGCCGGCTCCACCTTCCCTGGGACGGTGGAGATCCACCCGGACGCTTCCAACCTGACGGTGCTGAGCACGGCGGCGGGGCAGGACGGCAGCACGGTGGGGAAGGGGGTGAGCCCCCTCCAGCTGCTCACCCTGCCAGG